ACTCTTTCGATGTTTTTGCTCCCCAGAGCAGCATTTTACTACGTAAATCTGACAGACCGTCTTCCCCAGCTTGCATGTTTAGCACTGCGTCGTTTGAATTTTCTAATTAAAGCTCATGTGAAACATTTTTATTCCAGAAGAGCTGAATCTCAGCTAACTGCAAATACCTAAAACTTTAGGATCTAGGGTAAACTGACAGAGTACAGACCTCTCCATATTACCAAACATCTGGGAAAGATGAACATGTCTTAAGCTGCATACTACACCTCCTAAAACTTAAAGGTATAAAATCACCTTCTGAAGGTGCATCCTTCCCCCCAACAACTTGAGGTAGAGGACACCTGAATAACTACATGAGATGTTCAAGTGGACTTAGGGAGAGCACCCACCCTGAAGAAATTTACAGAGAATCCAGCCAAGAAACCTTCCTGCATGTTCAGTAGCGACTTGCCCGATGGTTAGAGATTAAAGTAATACTTGTAAAGTATTATAAATTCCAAGCCTAAATTATGCTTACTTATTTCATTACAATCTTCAAAGGCAGTTACTTTATTTCAATAGACAACTATTAAAAATCAGTCAAGCACACTGCTTTATAACTCAGAGAAAACCCTTAAAAAAATTGCTGAGTTTCAGACCATAGTCGGCTTCGGTGTTCTATGGTCACAGTCAATTTACACCATCGCATGGAGGGTGGGAATGAGCCCCTAACGGTGCACAGAGAGAGCAATGCCTGGGAATTAAGCATATTTCATTGCAAGAACAACTGTCAATCTCAAAAATATGAAAAAAGCACTCTTCAGCTGTTTAAAGTCTTTTATTTTTTAATGTAAATTCCTGCAGCAATACTATAAAAATAAAGGAGATAAAGCCATTTCTTAGGCCATCCTAATACAATATGGGAGGATAAAAGCTCTAATGCGGAATGCTTTAAGCAGTTATACACTGCTGCGGCTTGGTCTGTGACCCTTCATAGAATCACAGAATGGTTTGGTAGGAAGGGACCTTAAAAATCACCCAGTTCCAACCCCCCTGCCATGGGCAGGGACAGCTTCCACCAGACCAGGTTGCTCACAGCCCCATCCAGCCTGGCCTTGAACTTAGCAACTCCCTTAGCAATTCCCAGCTACAAGCTCATTGCAGTAACACCCTCACATATTGCGCCACACTACAGTAAATCACATTAACAAGCAGCATTTCTTACTCGAGAGCAGCCGTACTAGCCGTCAGAGGGAATTTCTGTTGCAGCAAGCCCCAGCTGAGCCAAGCGAGAGCTTTAACTCTTTGCTCAATAAGAACAGGTAGGTGAACTGGGGCTAAATGCTACCATTTCCTTCCTGATCTTAGGTTTACAAGAGCCTTATGCTCATTTTACAAAATAGAATTTAGTGACCTTCCCCTTACTACTATACCCTCACGGTTTCTCCATATATTTTCTTGCCTCCTCAATAATGCTTGGAAAAGATTCATTTCGGTTCCAGAGAACCCAGTGCCCTGGTTGGAAGTGAGTGCAGTAGTTTGTTGGGTCATTCTCCTCTCCAGGAGTTACAGTGGAATAAACCCAGAAGCACCAAAGCTCACGGTTCCCCCAAATCCTACCGCAAGGTCTCCCCAAGCAAAAAGCAGCAGATGATGCAGTTGCCTGTGGTCTAGCTGTGTTGGGAGATGGGCACACAGGATGCTCTGGATCAGGGATCTGAACTGTTGCCATGTTTCTGTAACCAGTGTTCAAATCAAGAGATCAAGGGCCAAAACCAGAGCCACCTAGAAGAAAGCCAGCCACTCAGCTGTGGCCCAGTACCATCTTCATTGTGAAGAAAACCAGCAATAGCAAAACTGTTTAATTCTGTGCATCGATGTTTCAGAAGTCTACAATTTCTTTTTACCTATGCAAAGAAAACTAAGTGGCATTTAGTGCCTGCTGAAGAAACAGACCCAAGACATGATCTAAAATCAGGCCCAGCAGAATCTGGATTTCAGACACTCGACCCACGTGGGATCCAGAAGAAGATGCTGATCCCACTTTCCTCTACAGAAGAAAGAAACAGATGCCTGAAAGTCTCTGCGCTCAGCCAGGATCTTACTGTCAACAGGAATCAATGAAAACAGAAGTCTGGCTAAAATGCCTCTGATTGCTGGGTGTTGGAAGCAGGGTAGTCCATGCACCTCCATCAACTTGGGATCCACTGCTGGGAATCATCTCCTGGGAGGAGATGCTCCCCTATGTTCTCTGGAAGACCCAAGGAGGGTTTGCTCTTTTGCTGTGAAAAAAAGGTGGCCAGAGATGTTACAGTTCCTGCCGTACTGACCCAGTGATTCAAGCACTCTCCCGGGAACGGAAAATGAGGGTAAGAAACGTACATCTCCATTAAAAGACTTCACCACCGAGTTGGACCCTAGATGAGGCTGGGGCTTACTCCCACTGGATGAAGCAGGGCCAGAGCACAGAAGAGCCTTCAAGGCAGGAAGAAACTCAGAGGTAGTTAAGACCCTCATGGCAAATTTTCCTCATCCTTCATGTAAGTGGTGAAGTGGAGGAGGAGATCGAGCTCCTCATTTAACAGAGAAAAGAAGCTGCAGCTTCCCCTGTAAAACGCTGGGATCTGCACCGTACCCCCCACCTTCATCTTTGTGTGGGTGCTGCGGAGCCCACCATGGGACCAAGCAGCACCCTGCTGCTGCCGGGGTCAAGGGCGGCACAGCCAAGGTGATGGCATCCTTGCCAGCACGGTGCCAGGGATCACAGAACCACAGAATTGATGAGGTTGGAAGAGACCCCTGGGATCGTCGAGTCCAACCTTTGCCCTAACACCACCATGTCAACCAGACCATGGCACTAAGCGCCAGGCCCAGTCTTTTCTTCAACACCTCCAGGGATGGTGACTCCACCACCTCCCTGGGCAGCCCATTCCAAAGCCTAACGACCCTTTCTGTGAAGAAATGC